CCTGCCCCCGCGGTCCTGCTGCCCCCCCGACCCCGCTCGCGGCGGGCTCTTCCCCGCCGTGATGCTTTCCCAGCCTTAGAGGCAGCGAGCTCCGGCTGAGCGGGAAAGTTTCGCCCCGGTAACCAGGTGTTTTGCGGAAAGGGGGTTGCTGCCTGCCAGCCGCTTCCTAAAGCTGTGGGTGAGAGTGGATTTGCAGCCGCTGCGATGAAGTGTTAATGGCTGTAATTACCAGGTCTTTCATTAGGTCCAGAATACTCAAATAATCTACAAAGCCTATCTGCGGGCTGATTTACACCACAGAGATTGTCCTCATTGCAGCAGTTGCTCTGAATACACATAAATGTTAGCGACCTTAGAATCGCATCCCACTAAGTTTTCATTGCTTTTTTTGTTTGTTTGTTTTTTTTTTTTCCCTCCCCTTGTATAGCACATGAAATTCATTCATTCAAACTGAGAGGCCCTAATTTGTTAACCTAGCTGTTGCATAGCTCTATCTAGAGAGAGTGTCACTGCTGTGAGACCCCCTCGGAGTGAGGGGTGCCTTCGGAGTGCCCCAGGTGATGGGCTCAGATCTCGGCTGTGTTGGTGGAGGTCGGTTCAGTGAAGCTCTGATAGACTAAAACTGGTGCTGGCTGGGACTTCTTTGCAGTGCTTGAAATAAAACAGGGCTAGCACAGAGGAGAATGAAGCGTCTGTGTTGTTTATTTTATAAGACACATATGTAGACTGAACAGAAGTCGCTTATCTTTGGGGGAGTACTTTTTGGGTGATAGTAAAATGAGATACTTAACACCTGGTGATTTCCATTACATCTTTCCATGTAAGATAATATTCTGAATGTTTCCTCAGCTACAGTGCATGTTGCACAAGAATCTAGAGATAAATGAATACTGATTCATGTACATACAGAGCCAAGTCTGGAACAGGGAAATACTGACTAGTCTGACAAAAATGTTTTCTTTTCAACTTATTAACATGCAAATATGGTACGCTATGACTTTTATATATATATATATATATATATATATACGCTCTGAAACGTCTGCTAGTCTACTACAATTGAAGTTTTACAATGTGTTGCCAGTATTTGCATTCTGCTCAGAAATACCTATAATACTGTAAAAGAAAATGAATTCTATGAGCCACTCAGTCTTCCAGATCACCAAAACCGGTGTGATTGATGTACTACCTACTAGTATTTTTGTGTATGTTGCTTTACAAGTGATACAGATTTATAGAACGTTTGACACAGTAGTTTCTGGGTGATACATTTCATTAACTCTCTCCTGGAGAGTACATTACAATTTCAGTTTGAAAATTGTCTGTATAAAATACAAAGTACTAAGAAAGTTCCTAAGGTTCCATCTACTAAGGCTTATTAAGCACATAGTAGATTATGCCGTTTTAGTGAACACTGGAATAACAAAGTAGCAGTAGAACATAAGCTAATCAGATACTACTTCTTTCTTGCTTCTGCAATTCGTCTAAATATATGAATTATAAACTGTCAAAGTAATTTATTTTCAGCGTAAATAATAACTTGCATACTAAGTGTAGGAATAGTAAAGAATTCCGCCTGGTCATCCACAAATGACTATTTTGCTTGATAAGAAACTTAGTTAAGATTACATTACAGAAATATGGTTTGAATTAACATTTTCCAAGGATATATTTCAATATAATACATTAGAAGACTTCTTAGTAGAAGAAAATAGCTTTATTCCACTTTTACTTGCAACGACCAAACTGGAAGAAGTACATGCTGAATTGCTCCATTATGTATCTAGCTCGTTACAAAACAAATTTGTCAGTGTTGATAGTTTCCCTGGGCTAAATATTTGGTTTGTTATTAAGGTTAGTTCACTTGAATAATTTATAGCCAATATTCTAACGCCTTGCCTTTTTACTTTTAAATATGAAGAGAGTTTTTACACACTTATAAAGCATAAATGTAAGTTAAGGAAAGTGTCCAAGAAAACAGTAAAGGTAGTGCTAAATAACAGACTTTATAAGAGAGACTATAGGTAAAAAACTTCTGTTAGGACTTACCTATGGGTACTTGGCAGCTTGTTGCTGAGTGACATTTATATAGTTTTGTTCACGCTTTTGCATAATAGTGGGGACATTAGGACTTATTTGCATAAACAATATGTAGACTTCTCACATCTCAAACACTGACAGTGGAGCATTTCTCAGTTTATGAGGCAAAACACACGAGGATTTTTAACACCCAATCCACGTGGAGCTCTTGCTCAGCAGCTTGTTTAGAGGGAACTGTGGAGCAGTTGCAGATAAAGGGTTCTGATGTGGTGTGTAATAGATTGTTTAATAGTTCAGCTGTACATGTGAAATAGAACCAGTGGCATATTGACGTGACCACAATAGGAAGACTAGTTGAAATCTCTAAGGCTGTCTTTATTTACGCATTGTCAGTTCCCTTTGTTGTAAGGAGACATTAGAAGGTGTATAAAGTTTAGAACAAATAAGTGGACACAGCAGAATGTACCTGCTCTAAGTTACTGGAGATGAGAGCAATACTATTTTCCCATTAGTGTAATTAGAATTGGTAATTGATACTTTCGTATATCTACAATATAGCAGTCAGGAAATAAAGTCTCTAATTACATGACCGACTGGTGTACTGCAGCGAATGCAAGTTGTTTTCATTCTGATTATTTGATACTTCCTTTTTTAGGCAATGCATTGAATTTCTTATATGAGTTCCCAAATGCATCTTGTTTGATACAGTATTGTATAGGAGAATTTCAGGGGAGAAAACTACAAACAATTTGCAACACTCCTCCTTCTTGACATCAGGTGTTTTGTATAAAGTTTAAAACTAAATTCTTTATTCAGTAGGCTTCTGACATTTCACTGTCACTTTTGTAGAATATTTTTCACAACTCCCATTCTTGTCTTATTTACCATGGTATTACGCTGAAATATTCTTTTAGCTTCCCATTTATCAATTATCTCCCATTAGGTAAAGCACTAATATATCTACTTAATGGCAAACAAATATTTAAATCACTTAGTATTCCATAGGCCTTAATCACTTGTCCAAAGTTAAAGCTTCACAGAAGTGTTTTGCTGAATGTGGATGAGTTTAAGTAAGTGGTTTTTGGGATGAGAGATTTAAAATCTGAACCCTCCAGGTGCTGCATATTGCCTGCAAGGAGCCTGGATACTACTAATTTCCAGCAAAGACAGCCAAATATAAGGAAAGATCAGTGCCTATGAGGAATCACTTAGCAGCTTGGAGGGTTGCATCCTTATTCAAAATTCTAATAATAGATTTTAATTCTAAATAATTGTTTATTTTGTCATGTTAGTTACATATATAGCTTTACAATATATGCTGTTTTCTCAGCTTTGTTTCATAGTGCAAAATAGGGTCATATGAGCAGGTTTATTTCACTGGAACATTTAATCACAAATATGAGATTATCATGTGTTAACAACCACTGTTTGAAGAACAGGCCTTTTAAAACCTGGTTATGTGTTTACATTTTTTGGCCATCATATTCTTCTGGTTTCTTTTTTGCTTGCTCTGTTCAACAATCCAATTATTGACTACTTAAAACACTGTAGCTGTGATGGTGTTTGTGTTGGTTGGGTTTTGTTTGTTTGTTTGTTTTTTGTTTTTTTTTAAGAGATATTGGTCACCATCAGTAAAATCAGCAGAACCAGTACAGGAATTTCTGAGTGGCATTATTTCTTTGCTTGGGGTATTGGCTTCCTGGTCAGTTCTGTAATCCTTTATGAATTGTCCCTATACCTTTTCCCACTGGAAATGTACTGTTTATGGAAGAAAAGTGTTTATCATACCACAGTATTCTGTGTCAAAACTAGATCAATTTCTGTTAAGTCTTATTACAGAAAAGTGAAATATGTAGAAATGAATTTCTGAAAAAATTCTTTGTGCGGTAGCCAGTTAATTTGTTTCATAACATTTCAAATATTAATCAGTCTGTTGCAATGTAGAAGCTTTTTGACAAGTTAGTTATCATGTATTTGAATGGTATCGATAAACTAAACGGGTCAATTCCCTCATAAATATGACCATATAACCAGCAGTCTTAATAGGACCCAAAATTCATCCATTAAGGGGGCAACCAGGTTAACCATGCAGGAAAGCATCATCCTTTCTCTTACTTATGTACAGACACACACACACACACACAGACTTACCTCAAAGACTGATTATTATAATCACAAAGCAACTCTCAACAATAAAGTTTTTCATAACTTTCAGCTAAGCAAATGTCCTACCGTGTAATAATCATAAAAGTAACATTATTATGGTTAGCACTAAGGGCAGTAGAGAAGAAAAAAATGGAAACATTAAGTATAAATATTTACATTGATGACTTCTTTCATACATTTAACTTTAATGCAGTTTGGTGCAAAGTGTACAGGAGTATATTTCAATTTCCTGTTCTCAATTTGTATTATATTAAATACTTTAAAATTTGTTTTACAAAGTGACCCACATTTGACCTTCCGTAACAAATTATGATGGACTAATTAAACATTAAATAGATGGATTGTTGATGCTTTAATTATCTTTATTTAATACAGA